TACTCTCAGCATTCATCTATGTAGTTAAAACTTGTTTGGTAGCTTGCACCAGGAATGGATTGCATTGTCTTTGGTATTGCACGACTTATTTGACAGCAGACTGGGGGTCCAAATTCATGCATTATATGATGCAGCCTGGACCAAAAGCCTGCAAAAAGTCATGTGGTCACTGACTCTGCATGACAAAACGTCAAGCCTATGTTGCTTCAAATGGCGCACCCTGAAACCTGTGCCTCTCTGGCCTCTCTCTATTATGTCAACCTCTTCTTTCCTTCAAAACCCCTTGGCTATGCCTAGCCTTCTCTTCCTTCCACTCTTCATTTACCTTCATCTTCTTTGCCTCCAGCAGCCTCTACCTTAATAGATTTATTATCTTCTGTGGGCTTGTTTCTCATCCTTTCTGTGGTTGGCTTGCTTCATTGGTTGCTGTCCCTGGGCTTCTCTTCCTCGGTCTGTTTACTTGAGAACCTCGACTTTACTTCTTCGCTATGAGCCTTTGTTATATTTGTGGCATTATAATGCTTGTATCCTAATATTGCAGATTTAGATGGGGTAGTCTGATATTGCAGAATAATATGTTTTCTACATAAATATTATTATTTTATATTGTTATTGGTGGATTAATGTTAACAAATATTGTTTATGTTTATAGTTATTTATTAGTATTCTTTATTCTGGTCATTCTATTATTCTTTATGTTAAATCAGTAGGCAAAATGTGAAATGGCAAGGTCAACCACACCATATCAAATAGAGGTTGACCACAACACATTCTACCAAATGCTTATATTTTTGCATACATTTGCAGTGTAAATCCCAATGGTTGCTACTGAACACCAAAAGAACAGAGAGATCAATTCATCCTGCATTCTGTGAAGCACACATTATATGATGCATGCATTTACAAAATGCACTTTCATCAAGTTATATAACCTACCAAATGGCTTCTCAGATAATCACAATTGAGAAAGCTGCTAATTTTACTTCTTGATTCTTTTATGATTCTAGTCCATGTTTATCCCCCACAAATGAGTTTACTTTCTATGTTCATTTTTTGCTTCAGATAAGGAAAAGCACAGCAAAACTGGAGCTGTATCGCAAGTTTACCAATTCTCTTGCTGTTTCTGTGCTTCTCTCAGTTGCCTGGATTGGCTATGAGGTATGGTTCTGCTAGTACATGACAAATCAACGGTACCTAATTCTAAACAGAGAAAAGTTTTCTTATATACAATCAAATTATTGAAGGGAGCAGTGTTAGGTGATAGCCTGTTTCTAAGATGAACTAATCTTGAATTTCCTTTCCTATTCCATTTAAGGTGATCCTCTTGTATGGGGATTTTCTTGTAGCAGAGATATATGGTGGCAAAGATCCCTAAGACCAACCTAATCACTTGGGAATGATGGTTGTCACAAAACTAGAAATGCTAGTGTGAGATGACTTAATTTAGTAAAGAATTATTCTGGGTAATTTAACAAAATCAGATGAATGCACTACTATTCCATTGCTTTTGTTCCCACTAGTTGACTTTGGCACATCTATGCAAATTGCTTCTTGAAATTGGAGATCTTTTCACATATTTGTACTTGAGTGTGAGTCTGATCAACTCAGGAATAAACAAATACAGGAAGTGATCCACTGTAAAACAAAATCAAGCCTCTGAATTCAGATAAATCCTATACACTGAACGAAAGAACCAAGTGTTTGAAGTATAACTTGTTTAATTTTTTTATATTCTGAAGTTCTTAATATGGAAAGTATATTTGCATTTTGCAAGCAATTGGCCAATTGCCTCTGCAAGTTGTTGCATGTGTTTTTTTTAGGTGGTGATGATGCATTGTTCACTACCTCTAACTTAACAAAAGCAACTCATCCAATTTAAATTTTTCTAATGACCTTGAAATGTGATTATATGTGACTGCAGTTGTACTTCAATGCAACTGATCCATTAAGTGAACTTTGGCAAAGGTCTTGGATTGTCTCCGCATTCTGGAATGTCCTCTCTTATGTACTCCTCGGTATTATCTGCATCTTATGGGCTCCATCTCATAACCCAACTAGGTAATATCTTGATCATTCTGTGTGTTTCTTTGTTGCATCAGGTTCTTTAATAGATTGTATTCATGGTTGAAATTCTTGTGACTGTCTGGCATGAATTGTAAATATATCGAATAGGTTGATGTTCGTAAAAAATGGTAGCATTTTTTTATCCTTTTGAATTCCTTTTCCATACTGGTAGAAATATGAAACTTCTGTTATTAATTTACAATCAGAAGATGTTTTGCTGTATGGATGGTTGTTCATGACTTCATTCTGAATTAGTCTTTTAGCATGCTGTTGCTTATTTTTGTAGCTTTCAAGTTTTTGATTAGTAGCTCTATATCAGATTAGTATATCACAAGTGTACTTGTACTTATCGATGAGTCAAATCCATTATTTATTTTAATTTGTATTTTTCTTTCTTTGTGTTGCATAAAGGTCACATGTTATTAAGCTTAAGCCTATATGAAACAATTCGGAGTTTGACTTGTTTTGGTGCCAGCTTCTGATAAACTGGTAAAGAAGGTGTTTCTTGAGTGTCTTTTTATAAAGTGATATACTATGATAGACTAAACTTAATATTGGTTCCATTACTGCCATCAAATATTTAACAAGGTGTGGGTTATTACTTATCCATGTCTCCTTGTAACATGTATATAGATAGAAATTTGTGCTAGTGGATTTAATATAAGTGACCTATCTGTAATCAACATTCAGTCAAAATTCTTTGTTCCTATCTGCTAGCCTTAATATGGTCATTGGCTTTTGCATGTATGCCACAACTTTCACATGGACTTAATTATCATGGTTGAATGAAATTTTTTCTGTTCTAAATCAATGCTGTTTTTGTCTGTTCAATTCATTGTGATATATAAAATGAACAGATAATTTGTTCATCCTACATGGTTATACTGTTGGATTGCTTTCAGATATGCATACTCAGAGGACACAAATGATGACTTTGATGATGAGGGAATTCCCCTTACCGGATGTGGTGTCAGAGGAATTGGTGACAATTTGAGCAAACTAGAGAGAAAGGAAAGGAAGAACATGGATCATGTATTTGGGATGGGAGATGACCTTGAGGAGGATAAACGAGAGTAGTAGATGCCTTCCCCTGCATGGGGTTTTGATCTTTATTTCTCTGTCCTGGTATGTCATATATTCACTTTTCAATTTTCACGTTTTATAAAAAATGTTCTGTTTACTCGCAAGCATGTTATGGCTATCGTTCAGAATCATGTGTTGCTGGTTGGTTGGCAAACGATTAATGTTATCATGATTTTTTACCTATGTAGTCCACATAAATTTTAGGAATGGAATCAATGTAACCTGACTAATATGCGAGGGTGCTTTATCAAAGCAATTTGATGAAATTTAATAAATCTTATTACCTGTCGGCCTATCTGGTAGTTATACAATTTTGCTTGATAGACAATTTGACCTTTTGGTTCCCTGCTTACAAGGTCTTTACTGTTTTGCTCAAGGTTTTGAAAACTAATATCAGGTAACGGATCATATAATTCGATTTTTTTTTTTTTAAGAAAAGACTGGTTCTTTCCATGTGGTCACTCACATTCCTGAAATTATGGTTTTTTTATTATAAATGTGAAATATCCATATTCTACAAGTGCTAAGGAATTAAAAAGTATGTTCCTCTGCACAATATACGCAGCCTTCTCCGTGAGTAAGGAGGTTGTTTTCACTAGAAAATAATTAGATCATCGAAGCTGTATATGTTTTCTTTAATGTCAGTGATTCTCAATAACAGTTTCTGTGTGCAGATACCTAGATCATTGCATTATCACTGGATATGCATTTTTAACAAAGAATGGTAAAGAAATTCCCTTCCCTATGCTGCATTCAAAAAGCTGAGTGCTTTTCTTATGCCATTGTTGTCCATGTTGGACTCCAAATACGCGTGCAAGCTTCACCTGTCATATACACAGCAGTTTGATCACTTCTAAGACAGTGACCTGGGTTTTCAGGTCGTCAGATCGTTGCATGACGCTTTAAAATCCCTTGCATGAAGCATTCTTTTAATCGCATCAGGATATTTGGCTGTTATCATACTTATGTGGTGGCCTACCTTTTAGCTTGCTCCCTCTCTGCTTGGAGGCCAAGTGTAACTTCTCATATAGATGGTTATATACTGCATGATCGAAACTCAAAACAGTCACATGAAATGGTCTTTACTCTGATGTATGGTTATATTTTGGCAGGTAAATGCTGTTCTGTACTCTCTGAGCACTCGATGTGGAGCCTACACTATAAACTCCTTCAAGAGGGATAGTTGATGATGATGCTCAATGTTCATATTTCCTTGTAACTTCTCGGTTTTCGGCTTTGTAACCCATGTGGAATAATATGATACACTGAAAAAAGTTTCAAGAACTGGTTAAGTAGAATTTGTTGCATTTATACTTAAATACCAGTATCATGCTAAACTATTTTATTTGTGTAACAGCCAGCTCTATATCATAGTGCATGCCAATTCAATTTCTTTTATGTAGTTTGTGGAAGCTTAATACTTCTCTAATCCGGCTCCTATCAGGATTCTCAAGGTTAAGCCAGGATTTCTGAAGTGGCATTCTTTCTGTAAGCTTTGTATTTATTTCCAAATTTAAGCAAAAATTATTGGATACCCAGTTTTTATCCTTTCAGCCATGGCTAATTGTTAGAAATTTTGTTTTTGATGTCTCCTTTTGCTTAATATGTTGTTAAATTAAAATATAGTAACAGTAGGTCGTAAGGGTGGTGGTGTTGAAATCAAGCCATGTTCAAAGAGAAACTTGCGATTTTGATCCAAATCAGTCGAGTTGATTTCAAATCATGCATGCATTTCCTTGTTCGATGGTTTAATCAAGTTAATTTTAATTTCGGAAGTTGTCAATTGAATGAATCTTGCCGTGGAGCAGTCTGAAGGTGTGTTCTAATGTTACAGGACAGGACAGGACGACACGTGAGAAGAAGGGTTGAGAACCCACCTTAAACAATTGACTACGATAGCCACATGGACTATAATGAATAATACACTGTACATGTACAGAATACAGAAGAACATCCAACCATGATCTTTTCTCACAGGTACAAACACGACACACTACCTCTTCCTTTCATGGATTTTGAGCTTCGTGATCTTTAATACACGAAGCAGTTCTCATCACCCTTTTTAGCTTCCGCAAAATGCCTAAAATCTGCTACTAGCGGAAGGATCAGAAATGTAAATGGCTTTTCCACTCATTCCATCTCCCACGTATGTTTCGTCAGGAGTATTGCAATGTGGTGGAGTTGGCTCTGTGAGCTCTGTGAACTCAGATTCTTCGTCGATATCGCTATGTCGATACAGCAGCTCACTAGCAGAACCATAACCCATAAGCCGATGAAGCTGCGAAGCTGTTCTATGCCTGCCATTTATCTGGATATTTACTGGTGGTTCGGCATCAGTAGTATAGCTGATGCCAAGAGAGAGCCCATAGTCTTCCGAGTAGGAAACTGGCTCCCCTTGAGATCTATCATCCGAGGGAGAATTAGATACCTTGTATCTGATAGTAGTGTCTGTACTGCTATCCACCTCACTACTTGTAAGATTGTCAACCTCATTGGCAGTATGGGGAATTCCATGATCTCGGGCTCTGAAAGAAAACTCAAGAACTTTGGAGCAAGCACCGCACTGCAGCTTGTTCAATCCTTTCCTCGCTACGAGAAAATTGATAGGAAGCTGAAGTAGCTGAAAGCAATTGTAGCAGATGACGAAGGGAGCACCACTTACGATGGGACGACAATGTCGCTTGGGCTGCTGCCTTCTCACCTCGTTGGATGGCTTCTCTGGCTCATGCTTGATCTGAGGCTTGTGATGACATGGTGTATGCACTCCCGGACTCAAGGTGTTACAGGGTATGCTAGATGTGTTATGGTGGCAAGACGTGTAACCTCTGTTGCGGCGGCACATCGATGTTTGGCAATGCAAGCAGGGACTGAGATGAGGCAAGACTGAAGGGATGTCATTGAATCTGTGTGGTCGAGGAACACCCTTTTTATGGCAGTGTGGTTTCGGAGGAAGCCGGACTAAAGCTGAATCAAGCTGCTTTGCATGGATTTCTTCTTGGTGAGATCCTCCCTTGCCTTCGTCGGATTTATCGAATATTCCGTTGATTTCCTCTCTCAATTCGTCGACCTTCTTCAGAATCTCCATTTGAATGTGTTCAAGCGAATTGAGCTCAGCCGGTGGGCTGCCATTTCGATCGTTGGCTGAACCCTTCGGCAACTCTGCATCATCCATTGGGAGCGATCTCAAATGCCCATCATTTTCTTTGGCTGAACCCTTCAGCAACTCTGCATCCGTTGGGAGCGATCTCAAATGCCCATCATTTTCTTTGGCTGAACCCTTCAGCAACTCTGCATCCATTGGAAGCGATCTCAAATGCCCATCATTTTCTGGTTCCAACCAGTTCTGGACCGAATGGAAGTCTTCTGAGTTAAGAGAGGTATCTTTGCTTACATAACCTTTGTTTTCTGTAGACAATTTATTTGCATTTGAATCAAACCTGTCAGCATCAGCTGACTTCTCGATCGATGGCTTTTGTGAAACTTCTTGAACTTGAACTTGTGTGCCTGCACTCATCTTATTAACCTCTTCTCCTTTACGTGCATTGGTAGTATCTTCCGAATCCTGAACTTTCCTTTGTCTGAAAGTTCTTCTAGATACTGGTATACGCTTACGAGGAGCATCAGTATTGGAGACACCTTTGGCGGAAGATACACTGTCATCATTTGCATTAGAATTTCTGGTAGCTGATCTTAAGATATTGCCATGTCTGTCATGATCACTCCTGTTACTCCAATTGTCCTCCGATGATGCAGTTTCTCTAAGGCTAGAGGATTCGTTAGAATCTTGTGTCCTCTCACTCATCTTCAAGTTTTCATGGCCTTGTTGACGAGCGTCTGAAGACTTTTCCACTTCATTCAGAGAGTGATCAAGATCAATTCTCTCATTGGTAAGCTTAAGAGACTCCGAGTCCAAGCCTCTCTCTTCTTGATTCTCCAATTCATCTCCTTTCTTATAACAATTGTTTGAAGCATCCACAGAAGATGATTGTGGGTTTGGAGAGTCCGCACTCTGTACTCGATCATTTGTTGCACAAACAGCCGTTTCATTCTTAGATTGCAATCCATTGTCCAAGGAGCCACAATCTGGTCGGTTCTCCGATTTGTTCTCCGGCAGTGGGACGATGATATCTTTCCTGGTAGCATTGTAGTGCTTTGCTGCAGATAGCATAAAATGTTTTCAGAATTCTTTTCTAGGAATACAAGAGATCAATTAGTAGTAAGATCTAACCTCGCAGAGTCGTGCCACATTCGCCACACTGGTACACGGGAACATTGGCAAATTCAGTAAGAAGCTTCTTGCATCTTGGACATCTTACGAAGCGGAATGGTGGGACGGTGCTGGCCATGGCCGCCAGTATACACTAGTCAGAGATTTTCAGTAAGGCGTGCAGGATCTGCTGCGATGTGCCACCCTCACATGATGAAACAACTACCGAATTCGACTGATGAAGTTACGGTAAGCAGCCTTCTTCCTCTTATTTTCCCCAGAATCTCTAGACTCTTTCAGATTGTGGAACGGCTAGCTTTTATTTGTTAGATAAATATCCTTGACCTATTTCATAGAATCAATGTACAAGATTAGTCAGTACATCTTCGGGGTCATAAAATTATCTCAAGGTGCTTAACTTTAAAGTAACAAGAAAACATCAACTCAAACAAATGCATTTGGAGCTTATCACAATTAATAGTACGGGCCTCTTAAACCACAAATGGCATGTAGTAGCAGTAAACATCATAAGAAATGAATTAAGTGAAGTTACAAAGTAGTGCAAGTTATGATGTAAAACAAGAGAAAGGGAAGAAGCAGTGCAAGAGCAAAAGCAATGCTTCCCAGAACAAAATTTAGGATCCCACTATGCAGAAGATGATCAGAACCGGTAATTCATCACAAAAACAAAAAAGATTCATGTAGAGACAAAAATACTAACAGAAACCCCGCAAAGATTAATCCACTGGACCAAGAAATCACCAAACCCTAAAAAATCAGATGTACAAGGAGTACTAAAGGGACAAACTTTGAAGTCCACTAGTTGCCCCTACAATATAATTTGGACGAAGTCAAACTGCGAGATACCCAGTTTATCCAAATGCAAGAAAAGTGGAACCCTAGAAGTCCAAGTAAAAAACTCCAAGCTCAAATTAACCACAAAAGAATCGAACGACAAAGGAAAATGAAAGATTTTTCTCGTTCTGTTTCCTTCCAAATCGCGTAGAGTAGCAGCTAAATAACCAGCTTGAGGATTCTTGAATCTGTTTAGAGATGATCTTCGATCAATTTTTTTCCCATTTCTGGTCGCCCAATCAACGAATCACTCAATCAAGAACATGGGATCCCAGAAAGACCCAAAGAATTCAATAGGGCCGAGCAAACCAAACCAAGAATTCACTCGTCCAAACAGACAATAATCAAATTAATACCGAGAAAGTGTCAACATTTACGCAAAAGGAGTAGCTTAGAGGAAAGTACCTTGTTCTTCTTCCTCCTCTGTCTCTGCTCCTTGCTTCCCTTTTTCCTCGTTTCCTTCCTTCCTACCGCTTGTGCGGAGTTCTCGAGTCGTGCGTGCGTGTGCGGAGGGAGGCGTCTGAGAATCCGAAGGGGGACACACGAGGAATAAGAATGAGGAGAGGACTGACCGTTTCCACGATTACGTGGTCAGTTTGACTAAGAAAGTCTTCAGCTGTCCGCGTTTGCACAGCTGGTCAATCCCACAATTCTTTTTCTTATATATATTATTAATTCCATATTATCACCCATGCAATTGCATATTGGTGCTAATATCAGATAATTTTTAGTGTGGAAAATAACTAGAAATTTTGACTAAATGCAACCTCAAACTTGGCTTGGAGTCCAAGCAAATGCAACCTCTTTATGACGACCGGTTCATAATTAGTCCTCGTATATGTTATTTACCAGACGACCTACTTCGACCTCCTCGTAGTATATGATGACACGAAGATTGTTTAGTAATTAGTCCGAAGCACGAGGGCGTATATGTCATTGAGAAGATGATGGCCTACTTCGTGATTAGTACAAAGTACGAGGGCGTATACGTTAATAACCAGAGATGGTTAGTGTAATTAGTCCAAAGCACGAGGATGTATCTGTTAATGACCAGATGGGAGCCTCCGTGACTCGTGCGTATGAGGACCCATTAGTAATTCGTTCAAAGTACGAGGGCGTACATGTCAATGAGCAGAAGAAGAAGACCTTCTGACAGAACTGCGCACTTCGGATCTCGAGGACTGGTTAGTAAATAGAACAAAGAACGAGGGCGTATATGTCAATAAACAGATGACGGCCGACTTCGGCTTTCCCTTGTGTAAAACGATGGAGAGTGGTTGGTCATTAGGCTAAGGGACGAGGGTGTATGTGTCAATGAGGAGATGCGGCCGACGAAGACCACGTCTCCCCGCCCGCCGCAGGTCGTGTGGTACGCGCAAACGTGGATGCGCCTCCAGAAGAAGGGACGGAGAAAGGCGAAGAGAAAGGAGATGGGCCCACACGAGACGATCCACGCGCCAACGACGACCACGCGGACGACGAGAACGTCGAGATCCCGTCTCCGAGCCCCACCGGGTATCGACGTGGGGTCGGGTCAGGAGAGCGCCGGCCACCAGCGCGCACTGGGATGCCTCGTCGACTGACGTCACCATGTCGGCCGCGTCACGTTGTGATACGCACGTCGACCGTCCACGTCTTGACCGATTCAGCGCTATATTTAAAGGACACCAAACCCACGCAGGATTTATTTTTGTATTTATTTTTGACGTCACTGCTTTCGGGAAAATACTTCTATTTATTTTTATTATTATTTATTTTATTTTTGTATTTAGTATTATTATTATTATTTAGCACTCTTTAACCTTAAAAATATAAATATATTCTATTTTATTTTATTATAAAAATAAATCATGTCAACCGATTTACTCTCGTCGTCATGTGCCACGACATCTGATTGACTTATTTGTTCCCGTCCAATAAATTCGAGTTTGCTTTGATGTATGAATGATTTGATTCTATGACCACATAAAAAGTAAGATTGGATTTCGATGAAAGAAAAATACATATAATGTCAAAATTGATCGAGTCAATATTCACTATTCAGGAGAGAGAGAGGATTGGTTCAAACCAAATTCAAAGTTATCAAGATCGTATAGATATTAAAATTCCACTTATTTGTTTGTTTGGGTCAAATGAAAAGATGCCAATAGATCATTCGAGGTATCTACTTGCCAAATTCCTTATTTGTTTAATTATATACGCTGATGAAATATAGTGATATTTTGTTAAAATATACTAATGAAACAATGAAAGAAATAAATAGTTATTACACCTCTATCACTAACTCTACTAACTTGTCAAAAGTGTCGTGTGAGGACATCTCTCGATATCAATCACTTGTGCAAAGTCCAATGTATCTAATAAATACCTCGAAACAATGTTAAGTACTTTCGGATAAGATAAAGACATCCATTGGGACGATCCCGAACTTCCCCCAACATACAAGCTATACATCGGGATGATCCTGAACTTTCCCTAGCAAACATGTCATACCTCGGGATTACCCTAAACTTTTTCGTAAAGACAATATACCTTTTTGGACAACCCCAAACTTCCCCCAACATATAAAGCATCCTTTCGGACAATCCTGAACTTCTTGGAACAAACAAGCCACGTTTCGGGACGATCGCGAGTCAATCGTCGTGAGCTAGAAACTTCTCGATAGTCCACTTACCACCCCCGACTGCCTGCTTGCGTCGCCTCATCCACCTCCATATGAACCTCAGGACGGATCTGCGGCTTCAGGAGCAAACAAGTCAACCTACTAGAATGATAAAAGTAATATAGATGTACATTGGCCGAAGATGGCATGGACTAAGTGGTATGAGATGTGTAGCGGCGACAGCGAAGCCCATGCAAAAGGATTTGGGCTCCAATGGAACATTCAATTGCACGGCCCATTAGTAAGTTATATTAGTGGCAGAGCCATCTAAGATGATAACTGCGACAAATTTTTCGTCCTTATGCTTTATTTCTTTATTTATTTCCGACAAAAAATTGCATCAGCAATTATATCAAATATATATATATATATATATATATATATATATATATATATATATATATACATAAAAATGGACATAGACAAAAAGAAGCATTCGTATCCGGATGAGTTTGTATTTATTATATTGAATACTATTTGTTGGTGAACAAATGTGTTGTGATCGGTGAGTCTGTACGGCTCGATTAACAGGTTGATATCGGAAGGCTTCTACCAACTGAGTCCTTATCACTATTTATTTTTAATTTATTTTATTATTTTTTTAATTTTTGTATTTAGTAGTATTATTATTATTATTATCATTATTATTATTATTCAACACTCTTTAACCTTAAAAATAAAAATATTTTTATTTTATTTTATTATAAAAAAAATAAATCATGTCAACTGATTTACTCTCGTCGTCATGTGCCACGTCATCTGATTGACTTATTTGTTCCCGTCCAATAAATTCGAGTTTGCTTTGATGTATGAATGATTTGATTTTATGACCACATAAAAAGTAAGATTGGATTTCGATGAAAGAAATATACATATAATGTCAAAATTGATCGAGTCAATGTTCACTATTCGGAAGAGAGAAAGGATTGGTTCAAACCAAATTCAAAGTTATCAAGATCGTATATATATTAAAATTCCACTTATTTGTTTGTTTGGGTCAAATGAAAAGATGCCAATAGATCATTCGAGTTATCTACTTGCCAAATTCCTTATTTGTTTAATTATATACGCTGATGAAATATAGTGATATTTTGTTAAAATATACTAATGGAATAATAAAAGAGTAAATAGTAAATTGACATCTCTCGATATCAATCACTTGTGCAAAGTCCAAGTGTATCTAATAAATACCTCGAAACAATGCTAAGCACTTTTGGATAAGATAAAGACATCCCTTGGGACGATCTCAAACTTTTCCCAACACATAAGTTATACCTCGAGATACCCTGAACTTTCCCTAGCAAACATGTCATACCTCGGGATTACCCTAAACTTTTTCGCAAAGACAATATACCTTTTTGGACAACCCCAAACTTTCCCCAACAAATAAGGCATCATTTTAGACAATCCTAAACTTCTCCGAACAGACAAGCCACGTTTCGGGACGGCCATGAGTCAATCACCGTGAGCTAGCAACTTTTCGATAGCCCACTTACCACCCCCGACTGCCTGCTTGCGTCGCCTCATCCACCTCCATATGAACCTTAGGACGGATCAACGGCTTCAGGAGCAAACAAGTCAACCTACTGGAATGATGAAAGCAATATAGATGTACATTGGCCGAAGATGGCATGGACTAAGTGGTGTGAGATGTGTAGTGGCGACAGCGAAGCCCATGCAAAAGGATTTGGGCTCCAATGGAACATTCAATTGCACGGCCCATTAGTAAGTTATCTTTGTGGCAGAGCCATCTAAGATGATAACTGCGACAATTTTTTCGTCCTTATGCTTTATTTCTTAATTTATTTTCATCGTTCGACAAAAAATCACATCACCAATTATATCAATATATATACATATACATATATATATATATACATATACATATATATATATATACATATACATATATATGGGCATAGACAAAAATAAGCATTCATATCCGGATGAGTTTGTATTTATTATATTGAATGCTATTTATCGGTGAACAAATATATCGTGGTCGGTGAGTCGGCACGACTCGATTCACATGTCGGAAGGCTTCAACCAACCGAGTCCTCATCACTATTGCAATTACCAATGATTCGCAATGTCTCGACGTAAAGAAGAAAGAAGGTTGGTTTGGATCGATATCAGCTCACCGGAAAATTTGACTAATGTGGTGGAATGACGAGTGGGAGACTTCCACTTTCATCACCAAATCACACAGCATCATATTTTGGACTGGTCTTACCACATGCAAAAGTCCATGAAAGCTCAACTTACGTGTTATAAAATTTTAGTATTTAGTAAAGATATGCATCGAAATGATCATGGATTGGCCAAAGGTGGATGGTTTGATCAAACATCTCTTTGCTGTGTGCTCACAAGTTTCTGGAAAAGTCATAGGACTGAGTCCTTGATTGTTCCATGACTTACCTGCTACAACATTATATTTGAATCTTAATGTCAATATCATGGTAAGTAAACTTAGTTCTCACCCATTTAAGGTCCTCATGGCTCCACCACCCTTCACAAACTCCAATGTTTCTTCTAAAAGAAAACTAAATTTTACTTAATGATATTGATAAAAATACAACCTTCAGAATTAATGAACGGATAACATCTAACTCTTATTGGTTCTTTTTTTATCTATAAAAAATAATTAAGATTTTTATCAGAATAATTAAGATTTTTCCTTAATTTAAGTGGTGCAATTTACATAACTATTATTGAGTTCTTTTGTTTTACTAAAATAGTAGGCTATATATATATATATATATCATTTATGTGGTTAGGTGCAACTTCCAGCTGACCAATTGATGAGCATTTGGTGCGTCCTCTTTCGCACTCCGACAAGCATTACGATTAGCGTGCGTCA